GGATGGCTGCGCGGGTGTCCCCTTCCTCCACCGCTCCAGGTGCGTCCCTTCTGAAACGGCATGCTGGGCCAAGAGGACAACCTTCGCCAGCTGAACGAGGACCCCGCTGGAATTCAGTCTAGGGTGTCAGAGCAGCTGCACTCCTCAGCCATGACCTTCACACCGTGCTCAAGAATACAAGCACTCAAAGTTCATGGTGAATTGAAGTAAAAATGTTTATTTTTTTCAAAAAAAAAATTGAAATGTGCGCAGGCAAAGTTGTCATTATGCCAAAGTTATAGCAAATGAGACATGAAAAAAATCCTTAGAAAGATGCTCATTTCCCCCTTTCCTCCCCTTTTTTATGAGAATAGAAGAGGATTTGAGTAAACCTTTACAGGAAACTTTATGAACTTTTCTCTTTTTAAAAAAGAGTTATTTCTCCTTGAAAGGCAGAGTTAGAGAAGGAGAGACAGAGAGAGGTCTTCCATCTGCTGGCTCATACATCAAATATCCGCAAAGACCAGAACTGAGCCAGGCCAAAGCCAAGAGCCAGAAGCCTCTTCTGGATCTCCCATGCAGGTGCAGGAGCCCAGCTTCGTCACTTTATAAACTCCCTCTGAAATGACTGTCTTGGCAAGTAACGGGCATGTGGGGTTCCTTTGCTGAGACACTGAAGTGGTTCTCTCTCTTTCAAATGGTTGTTTTAAAAAGCTTTATTAGTGCAGAGAATTCAGAAGGAAAACAAAAAGAAAAATTAAGAGTTTCCCAGGCAATACCAACATAATAAAAATTAATCCAAACATATCACTAATCAGAACATATTAGGAGATATTATCTGCATGGATCATAATTTAACCACGTGGCTACACTCTGTGTGAGAAACAACCTCCAACAGAACAACCAAGAAAGCAGAACATATAAAGCATGATCCTTCCTGCTTTCCTGTTTGCAAAAAAAAAAATAAATAAAGCCCCACCCCTTGTCCACTAAGCCCTCCACACCCACCAAAGAGACACTCCATTTTATAGAGATAGAAAAGCAGAACTGAGAAAAGACATGATCAGATGTAGTACGTAAGCATAATGTGTTGGAATTACAGTCTATAGAAACTCAGTTGGTAAATGATTGCTTATTTGTGATTTTAGTTAAAATATTTTTATTGGCTTAGAGTTATCCTTGATGGCATAATGACAACTGATGTCAAATATGCACAAAATGTGAGAAATCAAAATTAAGCTCCTTGATGTAGCAGCTCAGATAAAACCTCTACCGTCTTCTTTGTATGATCCTTCCTCCTAAGGAAGTTCTCATAAGTTTTGTTGCATCCACCCACCATCTGAGACAGATGTAAAAAGATGTAAAGTACTCAATACAACGGGTTTATTGAGGGGCAAGGCAAACCGACCAGACGGGACTGACATTTTACCCGAGTGCGGCCCCAAGGTGATTTTAGCAGAGGTTTTTATACCTTTCACACAACATTGTCATACATACTTCATCTCTTAGTTGACAAATTCCAGCAGCTGGACCATCTGTAGTGATGACATTTGATTGTCCTGGCTGTTATCTCTTACAGTTACCTCGGTCGTGTTCTTGTCCCAGATGTCCCCAGCAAGAGCAAGTAAGCATATTTACAGAAGCACAAATTAGCTATTAGCATTGTGCTATAACAATCCTTTAGTGTGAATTTCTGTCCTTAGGGTATCTAACACTCATATAGGGAAAACAGTAAATTCAGGAGACAAATTCCTTTGATCTGTCTGTCAGGTGTGAGTGGGGTGGGAATATGTTTTCTAGGTGTTTGTATTTCTCTGTTCTTTCCTGCATGCCTAAGTCTGCTCCTGGCCAGAAAATTCACATGGCAATTGAACAGGGAGCAATTAATATTGTAGGAGCTGCTAGAAATGGAGGCATGAAGAGTAAGAAGAAAGGATTCTGATGTATGTTGGTTTGGGAGATACAGCATGTGGCCACGACTCCTAAGGTTGGGATAGAACAATCAGGAAAAGGGACCCCTGGACTGAGATCAGATTCTGCACCACTCTGACTCACTGGATGATTCAAATCCCTGTGCAGCTGCATAAGAACGACCTGGAAACACCCTCCTTCATCCATTGGAAAACCAATTTTAGAGTGTTTGACCTAGCTATTCACAGGGAGTATCCGCAGGAAGGCATCATCCTACCAAACAAGCTACAAAGCCACTGTGGACTGCAGCCACTTGGGCAGGTACACTACCTGAGCCCAATGCTGGAATGGCCTGCCCTGCTGCAGACTGCTGCTGAGGACACCTAGCAGAACCCTTCTTTCCTGCATCCCTTGATGACAGAGCTTAAGATGGATCAGACAGGAAAGGAAGAGCCACCTGGCCAAGTTTCGTTCTCAAAGACCCCCATTGGGGAGAATGAACTTGGAGCTGAGATGGATAGACTCATCCATCTCCTTGAATTCCTCGGCTTCCACATGCAACCTTTTGCATGCATTCAAAATGTGCACAACAAAACAAGTCTGCATGCTTACCCACGTCAAGACACAAGTAACCTTCTTCACTGTTCCTTATATTGAGGAGATGCACAGTCAAAAAAATCATCACTGATTGTATCACCAGCACATCAAAATCATTGACCCAAAATTCTTAAGCTACTTTCAAAAATTAGTTGTCTATAAAACAGAAAATGGGAGTAGAGAGAGAAAATGTTTGCCACGTACAAACAAACACATGTAACAAGCAGATGGAAAAGTGCGTAGTCCCTGGCTCTGTCATTGGTCACAGGAGTGACTGAACTCTGTGGCTTCTTCCTCTGTCCCTCCTGCATAGTTCTCCTGACCTCAGCCAAATCCTCCACTGATCTGGATGACTTGAACCAGTACTAGACAAAGATTGGAGTCCTCCATTTTCTGGATCTTTTGACTACTGCAGTTTTGCATTATGCTTTATAATCAGACATGTAAATACCAAGAGCATCCCGACACAGTTCTTGCTCCCATGCTGTGGAAACAGCACAATTTCCACCTCATACTGTGATCAATTACTCTAGATAAAAGACTTTATCCTTCCATGTTGGTCCAGTGTCAAAGGAATCCGAAGTATTCAAGACATAGTTTCATATCCACTAAGGGAAAACTTGTCTGTGTCTCCTGTTGGAATTCAATATATTAAATATATACTGTATCTATATACATATATGTGGGTAGATAGATAGATTATTACTCTCATGCCCAGTTTGCAATTCCTGGATCTATGTATTTAACTACAGGGCAGATGTCAATATGTAACAGTCTCTTACACAAAGGACTTGCTGAATTGTGTGAAACAAAATCCCATTCTTTTGGTATGTTGCTTCAGCTGTTACTGCAGTTCAGCGCATATGCAATTAAATCCTTCCCTCTGTTAATTATGGAGACTGCTTCTGGGAGATGGATCGGTGACGAGGTCAGTTGATTATACTGAAAGAGCTTTTATGAGAAAGTAGGAAGCACTAATATCATTGGTAGAGTAACTCTGGATTTCCTTGCTAACGTAATTTTTTATTGTAGAAAGTTCTCACATAATTATATGCAAGTATCTGAGAAGGAGAAGAGAGGAGGTGGGAGAAGATTACCTGGATATCTTCAGGAAACTTAGAATTGAGGCAGCTGCACTCTGCTTGTGGTCCTTGGTGTAGAACTTCCATTTTCATTCAATAATAAGCAAGAGCATGGAATCAAGATAAAGTGACAGTTTTCCTCCTCACACAAATATGTGCAAATTGTCCACCATAATCTTTTAGGGAAATGTGGCTGGACAAATAACTGTGGTTCGTCTGAAATTAGCCGCCTTACTGGAAGGAGCCAAGAGTGTGTTACACGGTTGAGAAGAAAACAAAGAGAAGGGGACATTAAAAGACCACGCATTTCTTGTTCATAATTTCTGTCTTTATTAACCATTTGTCCTTAAAAGTCCTTCAGCAGCCAAGCATGTTTTCCACATATAATGATCTACCATGTCCTAAAGAGTGCTGATAAGCTCCAGGCTCACTCTAGCTCATGTTCACCAATGGACGCACTCTCCGTCATCTCTCTCTAGCTTGAGGGATGTTCACCAAATTCTCTCAGGTATCATGGCATGAGCCACAGAGCAGCAGGAAGGGGTCCTACTCCTTCTCCTCCCACACTTACCCAGCGTATCCTCAAGCTCACAGGAGCATAAATGCTTCGCATCTAGTTCTTTCTATTCTAGACATAAGTAACTCATCCATTTCCACTGGGGACAGTGACCCCCTCCAACGCCCATCACTGTTCATTCATTTACTTAAAAGAGTCAGAGGTGAAGATGACTTCTGCTTCCCTCCCCAAGAGATCACAACAGCCACAGCTGAGCCAACACAAAGCCAGGAATTCAGAACTGCACCTGGTCTCTTACATGGGAGGGAGGGTCCCAAGTCCTCATCTGCTCTCCACCACATGCATTCGTGGAAAGCCAGATTGGAGGTGGAGAAGTCAGGATCTAATCCAGGATACTCTGGCATTGGATGAGGTCCTTTACCCTGCTGTAATCAGAGCACTGCCAGTTACATTTCTTACCAGGATTTCCAGCATTCCGGCATTGCTGAGCTTACCACGTGATTGACTACACAATGTTAACATGTAAGGACCAATCTTCAATCTTCTCATCGCTTCCTGGCCTTTTAGCTAAGATCAAATGTAATCTTCAGTCAGTGAAATCATAAGAAAAGGGTAAAAGCAATGAGGAGAAAAATCTGCCTACAAAAATGAAACAACGTGGTTATAGCTATAAATGTCTTATGTAGATTTGTAGAATTTAAGATACCAAAGCAAGAGGAAACTATATTTACAGCTGTGAAAAAGTCCTGGGAGGAAGGTTTCACAATGAATTCTAAAGCTTCATTCTCTTTTTGTCTTCATCCACTGGAACTCAGAAAATGATGACAAAACACCCAGGTTCTCCCAGGCCCTGTACCAACTTAACCAGGCAGCCAAGCAAAAGTCAACTTCGATAGACCTGATGACTGGGTGATAAGAACACTGACTCCTCCATCGTTCTACAACACTGACTTACTCCTCGGTGTTCTGATTCTGCAAACGAGTGCCAAGTGTTTGAGACCCAGGGCACAGCAGAAGTGGAACTGCACAAAAGTACAGCCCAGCCCTCTCTAGCTCATCTGCCAGCACGTCAACTGAAATCTTTCCCTCAACCCACACCAACAGCTGCTGAGTTTCTGAGCTCTGCACTCAGGGGTGGTTTATGCACTGCTCCCCCTGCAGCCCCAGGCGCTGTGGCACTCAGAGCACACCAGTACCGGGCCGCGTCACTCAGCTGCACAGAGGGCTTCCTCAGGTGGAAGGAAGATTCGCTCTTCTTAAATTCAGCCTCAAAACCGTGGAGGCCCTGAACCAGGGTGTTCCCTGAAACGTACTTAAGGAGAAACTGAGGACCTTGGCCACGGTGCTGGACATACCAGAAGAGGTAGGGGGTTGCCCCATAGGAGTAGTTGCACCTCAGCTCCACAGAGTCTCCTTCAGACACAGAGACATGGGTGTCGGGCTGGGTCACAGTCTGGGCTCCAGCGTCTCCTGGAAAAGCAAGGCGTCCGTGAGCACAGGAAGCATTTCTGATCAGAGACTCCAGCCACAACAGAGACCAGAGGAATTTACTCACTCAGGGCCAAGTGAAGCCCCAGCACTGAGGCGAGCAGCAGGAGCATGGCTGGGCTGGAAACGCTGCAGCCTCTTTGCTGGGAGAGCTCCTCAGGGCGGAAGGGCAGGAGAACAGCTGCCAACACAGAGACCCTGCAGTTGGGAAGTGCAGGGGGAGTCGAGATGGCCAAGCCCCTTGCTGAGGTGAACGTGCAAACGCTCCTCAGTTGAGACTGGATGCTCTCCAACCTCTGTTTCTCTTTTGCTGTTCTCTGTGAAGATCTCAGCCAGCTGAGGGAGGAGGAGCTGGGGGTGGGACTGGGCAGCTTGTGCATCTGCCACAGAAACAAGGCTTCTCATGTGTGTGCAGCATCGCCCTCTGGAGGCCACGTGCGGGACCACAGGTCCTGGAGCCATAGAGCCAATTCCCATGATCCTTTGATTTTCATATATCAAAATCATTTCACAAGAGGCTGCAACTTTCCCAAGTCTATGACAATGTGTTAGAGTCCTTCAGAAAGGGCACACTAAGTAAAGATACAATAATCTGTTTCTTCGTTGGGAAATCAATTTGAAAAGTATTCAAATTTCAGATCCAAATTCATGAGTCTTTGGGGTCAAAACTCAAGCAAGGTTGGGATGGCCCCCCCGGGGTGATGGAGGAAGGTAGAAGAATGTCCCTTGCCAGATTCTGTGAACCCACAGAGCTAAAAGAGTCCCTAAAGTCAGAGGAATGTTTCTGTGTAACTAAGGGAAAGGTGTAACTCTGCATACAGGGGCCTTTCCCTATAGCTATAGGAAGGAGTCTAGGCCAGTGGAAATGATTTGCGTTTTGTAACTGTGGCATCTTCTCTTAGCTCAGGGAAACTGCGCAAATGTCAGACACCCTGAACTACAATCCAACACTGAACTCCACTAGTGATGGAGTGAGCTCAGGTTGGTGAGCTCATGTCGAACAACACCATGTTTTAATGTGCAGAATGAAGAAGTAAGTCAGTACTTAGGTAAGAAATCTTTTTTGTTCTGGTTATATTATTTTGTTGGATTACATTGCATTATGTGACACATTCTCATAGGTTCTGGGATTCCCCCAGCCACTAACCATACCATCCCCTCCCTCGATGGTGGATTCCTCCACCTTATTGCAGTATTGCAGTTCAGATTCAGTCAAGATTCTCTCATTGCAAGCATAAAGTCCAGCATCTTATTGTGGAGATAAATTCAACGCTTTCTTGGGGAGACCATCTCTGCTCAGAAAGCAGAGCTGGCAAAATATCATCTCGATCAATTAAAAGCCACAACATAATATCAACATCAATTTACAACATTATGGAATTAACTGACTAGGTATTGAGTAGCAAATATGTTAAAAATGGAAGTTTTTAACCACATTCTGTGACTACTTCATTGACATTTCAATTTTAGTTTCTACACAGAACTGGCTCCTATACACCTTAAAATGGCTACAAGAGTACTATTCAGCTGTGTCATGACTATTTTCATTTTAGTATTCAGTAGTTTATAGTGTTGAAACTGAATTTTGCTGAACTTGGCAGATTTTGGAATAGTCTAAACTGGCTTATAACTCTACCAAGGCATATGTCAACAGTTGAAGTGCAGAACAGTTTTAGGAGGGTGTACAGACAAATCTTCAATATCTTAGTGAGGAGTAACTAATCTTTGTGTCCTACCTAGTAAGGCATGTGTGAGTCCACGCTGACTGTTTCCTGTCTGGTTCCAAGCTTTCCTTGTTGTTGTCTATCTATTCCAATTTGTGTGTATGTGTTTTGGGTTGGGAGGCTCTGGAGCAACCCTGATGGTCATTGCAAGATAGGGTGGGAATCCAAAGTTGGAACTAAGTGAGGACCACAGAAAACTCCTCTCCCTAGTCCCAAAGGAAGCTTACTGTTCCGATGACCCTGGATCCTGCAAGGAAGGGTTTGGGCTTCTTCCATCCCATGTGATAGATCCAAACGGGGGTGGATGACCTCAGAGTTCTTGGCCTCCAAAGGCATTCCAGTTCCCCGTGGTCTCCTTGGCAGTTGGCATGTAGTCGTTGGTGCCCATACTGATAGTTTACGGAAGAAATCTGACACCCATATCCAGTGCCTGGCACAGGAGATACTACTTATTTCTCACTCATGTCTGAAATGGGTTCCTGGAAGGAAAAAAAAAATCTGAAGACAGAGAGACCAGTGCAGTAGGAAAATGATCAACTGACTGCTGAATGATTTATCGAGATTGCTTTTCAGGAGAAACAGAACTACCTAGAAGTAACTGAACTCACTTCTGCTCTGTTTGGTGAGCAGCATGTATTTTTTTCAAATCACATGTGCTCTGCCAGGACTCCTTCCTGACAATACACTTAGCAGTTATCCAGCGGTTCCAAATCAGCTTGTGTGCAGTGATTTCTTGAAGGAAACAAGTATGAAAATGAATGAGATGGCAGTTATGGAACACCAAATAGTGCAGAGATGAAAGTGGATGGTCTTGTGTACCTAGCAACACTGCCCACTGTCCACTCTGCTGGCGCTGTGCACGCTACTTGCCCCACTGCAGGTGAGTCTCCCGGTGACCCTCCCTCCATGTGCCAGCGACAGGCATCGCAAGTATCTTGGGCAGTGCTGCCACACAAGGGCAGCAGGGAAGTACCTGTCTTCTATCTAAATGCACCACTACCTTCGACAGTGTGTGTCTGCCCTGTGACCCAGATGAGTGCTCAGATACCTGGAACGAGGAAGATAAGTGCTTTCTGCACAAAGTCTGTGACTCTGGGAAAGCCCTGGTGGCCGTGGACCCTGGCAACCCCACGGCCCCGTGATGCAACACCCACACAGCCATTACCACTGGAGCCAGGACTGGGAATAGAACATGGGGCTAGCCTGCACACAAAGTGTAAAGGTGCCTGGGAACTCTAGAAAGCAAAAATTTAACTTTGTACATTTGCTCTTTCTCGACAATAATGGCAAAAAAAAAAGAAAAGAACAAGTCCAAGCAATAAGCCCTCTTTTGTTCATCATAAACTAGGCACCTGTGGCTTAGCCTAGTTGAGGTGCGAAACATGCCTGCTGCTGTGAGTGCCTTTAAATGGAAAGTCAAGCCCTGCTGTTGTGAGTGTAGGGGAACCAAGTATCCTGCAGGTGCTTTTCCTCCTGGTGTGCATCCTTTGAGCAAGCCTCAAGACTGAACGAGGTCATCTGGTTAGTTTTATCTTTACTGGCCTATGAGCATTGGTTCTTAAATGCTGGAGAAAAGTTGAACTACTTAAGCCAATGCAAAGTAATGCTGTGTATCTGCTAGGATCTAAGACTGTTCATAGTAGTCACCGTCCAGAGGTGAACGTGCTCCAACCTCGAGCAGGAAACACCAAGCAGTGCAAATACTGCTGTAGAAGACACGTGCCTCTCAGAGAGGGGTGGGGTTACAAGCTCAGCTGCAGTTTGGGTGCAGGCAGCAGGTGACCTGGGAGCACTGTGCCTTGCAGCACAGAGGTAGGTGCCTGAGTCAGCCAGCTGGGAGGCTGCGATGTGGAGGGTGCTGTAGCGCTCCCGGGAATTCATGGTTGACGTCAACCTTCCATTCTCCTTTGTCCCTGAAGCTATGAAGAACAGAAGGATGAGGCCGCTCCCGGGATTCTGTCGGAACCACTGCACATTGTTCACAGTTTCAGAAAAATTACACCGCAGAGTGGGGCTGGCTCCCTCCTGGACACTCAGGGCTGAAGGACTCTGCTCCACCTCCAGCCCTCTCACCCCTGCATGGACAGAAAAAGAAAAGGCACAGGAGAGTCACTGTGGGAATCATGAATGCAGCTGCCAAACCTGTAACACAGCCCAAGAAATACCCATGAGTGGGGAAGACAGCATCAGAGTCTAGCATCCCGCCCCCTCTCCCAGCCCCTGCCCTCACTGTCAGCTATGACACACACCCCATCCCCACCTAGGACCATCTCAACTCACAGCAAACCTGGATCCACAGAAGCCCCAGCAGAGTTCCTAGGCTCCTCTTCATGGCTCCTGGCCTTGTGCTTCACCTCACCCCTGCTCTGTAGGGTGTTAAGTGCTGGGCTCCTTCACCTCACCCCTGCTCTGTAGGGTGTTAAGTGCTGGGCTCAGACAAACTTTGTTCTTACAAAGGTTCCTGGAGACTCAGGGAGTACAAATCACCTCTGAGCTCTGTCATTCATCTTAACAGGAAACTTCACTGGCTGCCAGGGCTGAGAGACTGCAGTGTGAGCTCCACCCTTGTGGGTGGGAACAGTGCAGTGAGGACCAGGCAATGGTTCCCAAGTGTAAAGATATAATAGATAAATACTTTATGTAAGAGAAGTCTGTGAAGAACAGGGATGAGGGACAGATGCCGTGGCACACGAGGTTAATCTGCCAACTGCAACATCAGCATTGGCTGCTCCACTTCTGGTCTAGCTCCCTGTCAATTCATCTGGGAAAGCGGCAGTGATGACCCAAGTACTGGACCCCTGACATGAACATTGGAGACCCAAATGTAGTTCCTGGCTCCTGGGCTTCAACCTGGCCCTACCCTAGCATTCATGTCATTTGAAAAGTACATCAGTAGATGGAAGATTTGATGGAGAGAGAGAGACTCACCTTTCTCTCACTCTCAATAATGCTGCCTTTCCAATAAAATAATACATTGAAGCATAAAACGAGTAATGATACTTTAGGGAAAAATCAACATCTCAATTGAAATAAACAGAGGCTTGAACAATCATAGGAAGAGTAACTTCATGTACCAAAGCACATGCTTTGACAGACTTGGAGAATTAATTAATGTGAAAAAGCATGCATTTGATAACATTTAAGGCTTTTTACAGAATACTCATAGGTACAGTTTCTTGTATGGATTTCTATTTATTTATTCAGTTCAGCCATAAAAAGACAAAGAGAGAGAAAGAGAGCCCGTCCACTGGTTTATGCCCGATGGCAGCAATGGCTGGAGCAGGTGGGAGCAGACCTGCAGCTGTGAGCCAAAAACAAAACTCCTCTCTTCATCTGTCCTTCTGCTTCCTAGTCTCAAAGAGAATACATGAGAAAACTAATCTGTGGCATGGAATACTTCTAGGTCAGAGAGTTTGGGAGACTTTAGTTATTGAAATTAAGAATGGAAAACAGACAATTGAGATGTTTTCTACTGAGCCTCATTGCTCAAAATGCCAAATGAAAGTCCTATCCCCCTCCGTTTATTCAGAGTCTTCCTTGCAACGCCTTTATAGACATTCACTTTCCAACTAGAAATTTCCTACACAGAAGACCAAAGCTTAAAACCCAAGGTAAAATTCACATAGACATGTTTCCCACCTTCTTTGGAGAATATCGTTAGGAGTCTGGTTTTGTTTTTTGTTTTGTGTTTTGTTTTGTTTTGTTTTTACTGCTCAACCTCAAAGTCCATTTCTAGTGAAGCCTAGAGTGCCCCCTAGTGGACTGAAACGGTCAGCAAAGAAAAGTTACAACAGCCTTTCCACAGCCTCAGCTCCATTCATTCCATGTTTCTTGATGGAAGAAACACAGATGTTCAGAAAACAGAATAGCTGCCCATCTTGCATGCAAGTTTAAAAAAAAAAAGAAGCAACGACTACTTTGGACCGTACTCACCTCATGCTATTCATCAGATTTCTCTGTTCAAAACAAACCCATATACATGTATAGATGCTTTACTGCAAGAGTAATTTACACAGTCTTAAGAATACCAAGAGCACTTTAGGATGTGAGGCCATGTGGCTGGGACACCCGTCACCCCATTGGTGTGCAGGGTTGTTTCCACTAATCTGGATGGTTGCGCGGGTGTCCCCTTCCTACACCACTCCAGGTGCGTCCCTTCTGAAACGGCATGCTGGTTGTCCAAGAGGACAACCTTCGCCAGCTGAACGAGGACCCCGCTGGAATTCAGTCTAGGGTGTCAGAGCAGCTGCACTCCTCAGCCACGACCTTCACACTGCGCTCAAGAATACAAGCACTCAAAGTTCATGGTAAATTGAAGTAAAAATGTTTATTTTTTTCAAAAAAAATTGAAATGCATGCAGCCAAAATTGTCATTATGCCAAAGTTACAGCAAATGAGACGTGAAAAATCCTTAGAAAGATGCTCATTTCCCCCTTTCCTCCCCTTTTTTGTGAGAATAGAAAAGAATCTGGGTAAACTTTTACGGGAAACTTTATGAACTTTTCTCTTTTTAAAAAAGAGTTATTTCTCCTTGAAAGGCAGAGTTAGAGAAGGAGAGACAGAGAGAGGTCTTCCATCTGCTGGCTCATACATCAAATATCCGCAAAGACCAGAACTGAGCCAGGCCAAAGCCAAGAGCCAGAAGCCTCTTCTGGATCTCCCATGCAGGTGCAGGAGCCCAGCTTCGTCACTTTATAAACTCCCTCTGAAATGACTGTCTTGGCAAGTAACTGGTATGTGTTTCCTTTGATGAGACACTGAAGTGGTTTTCTCTCTCTTTCAAATGGTTGTTTTAAAAAGCTTTATTAGTGCAGAGAATTCAGAAGGAAAACAAAAAGAAAAATTAAGAGTTTCCCAGGCAATACCAAAATAATAGAAAGTAATCCAAACATATCACTGATCAGAACATATTAGGAGATATTATCTGCATGGATCATAATTTAACAACGTGGCTACACTCTGTGTGAGAAACAACCTCCAACAGAACAACCAAGAAAGCAGAACATATAAAGCATGATCCTTCCTGCTGTTCCTGTTTGCAAAAAAATAAAGCCCCACCCCTCGTCCACTAAGCCCTCCACAACCACCAAAGAGACACTCCATTTTACAGAGATAGAAAAGCAGAACTGAGAAAAGACATGATCAGATGTAGTACGTAAGCATAATGTGTTGGAATTACAGTCTATAGAAACTCAGTTGGTAAATGATTGCTTATTTGTGATTTTAGTTAAAATATTTTTATTGGCTTACAGTTATCCTTGATGGCATAATGACAACTGATGTCAAATATGCACAAAATGTGAGAAATCAAAATTAAGCTCCTTGATGTAGCAGCTCAGATAAAACCTCTACCGTCTTCTTTGTATGATACTTCCTCGTAAGGAAGTTCTCACAAGTTTTGTTGCATCCACCCACCATCTGAGACAGATGTAAAAAGATGTAAAGTACTCAATACAACGGATTTATTGAGGGGCAAGGCAAACCGACCAGACGGGACTGACACCCTTTACCCGAGTGTGGCCCCAAGGTGATTTTAGCAGAGGTTTTTATACCTACCTTTCACACAACATTGTCATACATACTTCATCTCTTAGTTGACAAATTCCAGCAGCTGGACCATCTGTAGTGATGACATTTTTTTTTTAAAGATTTATTTTTATTATTTTTTATTGGAAAGGTGGATATACAGAGAGGAGATACAGAGAGGAAGATCTTCCATCCGATGATTCACTCCCCAAGTGAGCCGCAACGGGTCGATACTATGCCGATCCGAAGCCAGGAGCCTCTTCCGGGTCTCCCACGCGGGTGCAGGTTCCCAAAACTTTGGGCTGTCTTCGGCTGCTTTCCCAGGCCACAGGCAGGGAGCTGGAAGGGAAGCGGGGCTGCCGGGATTAGAACCGGCGCCCATATGGGATCCCGGGCGTGCAAGGTGAGGACTTAACCACTTGCGCCACCGCGCCGGGCCCTTTAGTGATGACATTTGATTGTCCTGGCTGTTATCTCTTACAGTTACCTCGGTCGTGTTCTTGTCCCAGATGTCCCCAGCAAGAGCAAGTAAGCATATTTGCAGAAGCACAAATTAGCTATTAGCATTGTGCTATAACAATCCTTTAGTGTGAATTTCTGTCCTTAGGGTATCTAACACTCATATAGGCAAAACAGTAAATTCGGGAGACAAATTCCTTTGATCTGTCTGTCAGGTGTGAGTGGGGTGGGAATATGTTTTCTAGGTGTTTGCATTTCTCTGTTCTTTCCTGCATGCCTAAGTCTGCTCCCGGCAGGAAAATTCACATGGCAATTGAACAGGGAGCAATTAATATTGTAGGAGCTGCTAGAAATGGAGGAATGAAGAGTAAGAAGAAAGGATTCTGATGTATGTTGGTTTGGGTGATACAGCATGTGGCCACGACTCCTAAGGTTGGGATAGAACAATCAGGAAAAGGGACCCCTGGACTGAGATCAGATTCTGCACCACTCTGACTCACTGGATGATTCAAATCCCTGTGCAGCTGCATGATAAGAACGACCTGGAAACACCCTCCTTCATTCATTGGAAAACCAATTTTAGAGTGTTTGACCTAGCTATTCACAGGGAGTATCCCCAGGAAGGCATCATCCTACCAAACAAGCTACAAAGCCACTGTGGACTGCAGCCACTTGGGCAGGTACACTACCTGAGCCCAACGCTGGAATGGCCTGCTCTGCTGCAGGCTGCTGCTGAGGACACCTAGCAGAACCCTTCTTTCCTGCATCCCTTGATGACAGAGCTTAAGATGGATCAGACAGGAAAGGAAGAGCCACCTGGCCAAGTTTCATTCTCAAAGACCCCCACTGGGGAGAATGAACTTGGAGCTGAGATGGATAGACTCATCCATCTCCTTGAATTCCTCAGCTTCCACCTGCAACCTTTTGCATGCATTCAAAATGTGCACAGCAAAACAAGTCTGCATCCTTACCCACGTCAAGACACAAGTATCCTTCTTCACTGTTCCTTATATTGAGGAGATGCACAGTCAAAAAAATCATCACTGATTGTATCACCAGCACATCAAAATCATTGACCCAAAATTCTTAAGCTACTTTCAAAAATTAGTTGTCTATAAAACAGAAAATGGAAGTAGAGAGAGAAAATGTTTGCCACGTACAAACACATGTAACAAGCAGATGGAAAAGTGTGTAGTCCCTGGCTCTGTCATTGGTCACAGAAGTGACTGGATTCTGTGGCTTCTTCCTCTGTCCCTCCTGCATAGTTCTCCTGACCTCAGCCAAATCCTCCACTGATCTGGATGACTTGAACCAGTACTAGACAAAGATTGGAGTCCTCCGTTTTCTGGATCTTTTGACTACTGCAGTTTTGCATTACGCTTTATAATCAGACATGTAAATACCAAGAGCATCCCGACACAGTTCTTGCTCCCATGCTGTGGAAACAGCACAATTTCCCACCTCATACTGTGATCAATTACTCTAGATAAAAGACTTTATCCTTCCATGTTGGTCAAGTGTTAAAGAAATCCAAAGTATTCAAGACATAGTTTCATATCCAC